GATGCACGTGTTTTGTGATCAAATTTGCACCCCCAGAAGTAGTTTTATTCAATTACTCTCCTAAACGATGATGCAAATATGTCATTAAAACAACAAAAAACGATTGCTGAAGTGTATTTAATAACAAATAGCTTAGAGTTTGCCTAATATCACGGACAATAGACCACCCCTCAATAAATGGTCTATTCTCCGTGCTAATATAGATTTACAGCGTATAATCCTCAAAGATATAATTTTATACAAAGTTCACGTACAACAAGTTAAATCCAAATATAATCTGTTTCATTGTGATCTACTGTATTTCTATTGGACCAGTAGTGATCTAAGAGAATCGATAGGCGTTCCTACTTATATTAAACTATACTGTATTTAAATCCACCGGAACTTCCGGGAATAAAGTGCCTACAATTGCTACAAAAGTTAATTTAAGTTTACTTAACATTAATGTCAAAATTTAATTTATGTTATCAATTTAAAATTCCTTCTAAGAAGTCATAACATATATTTTTTTTCTGGAAAAGGTGTGTAAAACTATTTCTGAGCTATTTGGATGACGTAGTATTCACTATATAATGGATAACGGTTACCCATTCATTGTCTATGATATAAGTAATTAAGTGAACAATTTATGATTTAACAGTCACAAGGTCCCATAAAATATACTATGTGATGAAGTTCCTAAAAGTGTTATTTAATACACACCAAGTACAAAAGCAGAGCCATAGATTAATATAATATCAGTTTTGTTTAATATAATCTCATATAGATTAATAATTAAAATTTTAATTTTGGGTTAAAATGCTCAATTTTTTAGGAACATACATATTGCTTATGTTTATGTTAGTTTCTGTAGGTTTTGTGGGTACTTTGAACTATATCTTATCTAGGCCTTCGTTCAATACCTCTAGCGTATCTTAAGTTATATAATAAGTATATAATATCTTAATTATAATTTTTTTTTACTACAAATCACAAAATATTAATATTTGTTTGTGGGTTTTCCAACATTCTGGAGGATTTTTCCAACACGTTATCGAAAAAAAAATATAATTATTATTTGTAACCAATGTCTTAAAATTCTCTCAACATTTCAAATACTGCATAAAATACGTAAACTGTATTTAAAACAATATCTGATGTGTATGGACATTAGTTAAAATTAATTGCAAGTCTTATTGATTACTGCAACTTCCGATCATTAGACCTAAAATGTGAATAGGTTCAAGTATGGTTATTTCCTTTCAGGAGTCTAGAGAAGAAAAATCAACAAATTAGAAAAATAGAATTTATTTAAGTTGAACTTATTATTTAAAAATGTTCTGAATGGTGGTGGTGTGGTTCTTCGTGATGGTGTTCGTAATGATGGATGACGGGGATCTTGATGGGTATCTGATGGCCAACATGGAGGTTGTAGTTCTGGTAGGACTTGGCGGGCTCGTGATGCTCATAGTGATGCTCGTGATGGCCGTACTCCTGGGCTGTGATGGCGACAACCATCAGGGCCAAAGTGAGGAAGACAACCAAGTTTCGGATCTATTAATTAAATCAAGGATAATTTACCGTGTTAAACGATTACCAAGAAGTTTATTTACTTATTCTGCTAAGCCGTACATGTTTACTATCTACATAAGAGAAGTACAAACTAATTATTTTAGGAACGAAAATAAAACAGATTTATATCTAAATATGTTTTTTATTTGGTTGAAAATGTTCTAGCATTTTTAACGCATGGATTTATTCATAGTTTTGTAAGATTACCGAGTCTGTCACATAAGAGAACAAACAATAAAACTTTAGCTGCTTGTGTCTCAAAAAGGAATAGGAAATAAAAGTAAAAGATTGTTACAATTTCGGTTTTATATTTATTATAAAAACGTCTTCGGTTAAAAACTATTAAAATTGAATAATTTTTGGAATTTAACATTGAATCGTTTGGAAAATCTGGACAGTCATGCATAATAATCTCTGGTGCTCTGAAGTCTAAGTCGTCTCAAAAACCCATTAATAAATATCAACTAGGTAAAGGGGTTTCCACGTTGTGTTGGATAAAATCTATTTCGTTAGTTTATCAATCACAAAGATTATCTTAAGGCCTTACTAAAAGGATTAAAACAGCTTCCTATGAAATATAAATAAAGTAAACTGAACGAACAGAAACAAAATATCGAATATAAATTGTCTTATCCTAAGCTTCTATCGTATATTATCTTAGTTTTTTTGTGACCAAAGGTAGCGTCTATATTTAAGCGTCTATATATTTATTTAGTGTCTGAGTCTATATATTTAGAGTTCAGGATCTATTTCTGCAAATAACTCAGGATTTTCAGCTATGTGATAATATGTCGACCTTATAGACTGAAAGCCCTAAATTGTAGCTTCTAGTAGTAAATAAAAATTATTGACTTTTGAGGTGATGAAAAATTCTCAAAAATTGGAAAATACCTTTACAAAAGTGATATATTGAAATTGATGATAGTAATATACTAAAGCTCGCACCGTGGTCGAAAACTGGACAAAAAGTGTGTATTGCGCAAACTTCTTTATTTTTACCCTACGCTGTAAATAAAACATGTTATTGGAATTTCTTCATTTGATTTTATTTTCTGTAAATATTTTGTTGTTATTTCGTCACCAACATGGCAACCCATAAGGCCCCTGTAAGTTTTTTATTTAAAATTATTTTTTTGCTTATTATTGAGGTTAAGTCATATTTTAATTTATTTAATTTATTTTTATGAATATTTATGTGGATTCTTCACATCTACAGGCAAATACTTTTCTTACGTTAAACTTATATTTTCCCTGCGATGCCCAGGAGCAGAAAAGGTTTTCAATAAACATGCTTGTCCATTAACATATAGAATTAGCCCCGTGTTAAATCTCCATCAGAAAACATTGATTTCCATTTTTGACCCAATTAACATAAATATTTTCAAAATACAAATAAAACTTACGCATATAGGACCGATAACCTTTCTTTTGCTACAACCCGTGTGTAGTTCGGTCCAGTAGTATGGTCAGGCTAGCTGTCATAAGTATTGCAATTTTTTTTTTAATATATAAGATTTGTATACTAATAAACTTACTCGATTAGTCATTGATTCCAAAAATACAAAACTATTAATAACTTTATATTAAAATTTAAATGATGTACTTACAATGTTAACCATGTTGTACGGTGTATGTGGTAGAGATGGTGTTATGATGATGTACTTGGAGTACACCACTTGTTTTATACCACGAGTCATGGTTGACTTGACAGCAACATGCAATTAAATCATAGACTTTCGAATACGGAGGAACACTTACACCATCATAGTTGTGTACATTGGATACTACAATTGTTCATAGAGAATGAAACTTATATTAATAAGCCAAAGAGGACATATTTTTATAATTGTGTTTCTTTTTTATTTGCTGTGTAAAATGTTAAACGAGTTTTAGTAATACATTTCTTTAGTTTTTTGTGTGTTTTTAATGGAGGGGATGATTATATTAAAACTTTCTATTGAGTGTGTTAATGATTTAACAAAACTATTAAGTATATTTTAAACTGTTTTTAAGGTTAAGAGTTTATTAGGTACAGCAATTTTATCCAACCAAACCAAATATTCTTTAAAGCTTGTGTACATTAATAGGCAATCTAAAAGTATGTATCCGTCCATTTTAGTATGTGCATCAGCTTTTGGAAGTTACTGCTTAGTATTCACTGACTGGTTCTCACCATTAATGATAATGGAATACACTTTAAACCATGATCGTAATGAAATAATTTACCACTTAAATCATATTATTTTACTACACAACTCCACTCAAGTACCATTAAAAAATTATAATGCTAACGCGCTAATGAAAGATTAGATTAATTATTTACAAAAATATTACCTTTTGTATATATTAAGTATAAAATATAATCATAGCATACGGGTGCTAGTAGAAATTATGTCTAAATATGTTATATATGTCTTACAGAATCTCGTTCATAACAAATCATCAGTCATTAGGTTATTTGGTTATTTTATAAACATGATGTATAATACTAGCATACCAACTTAACTATTACCTTATTTCTGTAAGGTTGGATAGACCACTGAAACTTATTGCATGATCATATTTTGCTGCACTTGTTTCTTAATCACATTTTGCGACTCATTCCCAGAGAAGTTATACAATATCTTGTATTCAATTCAATCATTGTATTCAATTGTATTCAATTTGTATTCTTGGGGGTCTTGTATTCACCTATCTACCTAGTAATATAGTTGTTTAAAACTATATATTTGTAGCAAGTGTTCATACTAAGTATACTAGTGAAATGCGTAATGGACTTCAATATAATTGTCTAAAGATTAACTACCAGCCAATGTTATTAGAACAAGAAATGGTATGGACCATAAACATATACAAATGATGTCACTGGTCCACATCTTATACTACCGTAACACAGAGTTTGAATGTTTATGGAAAATTCAATTGATATAACATTACAGACATGTTTACTTTTAGGCTAGTGACGTCATTTTCTTTATGAACTATACAGTTATATGTTCTAATAATCATAATAATAGCTCGCACAAGCTTTTTCGTTGTTTATTCTGGTTACTTCAAATATATTTGATTGGATTTTTTTACCATACATTCACAGCTAGCATTTTTACAGCTTCAAATTCATATGTTATTACTAGAATACGTTAAAAGAGACATGTTTGAATGATTTTCAACTTGTAATTCAACAGAAAGGTCTTTATACTCTGCTACACAGTGTATGTAAACCCAACGATTCCTCAATCTGTACATTGGCCGGGGTAATGATATCGTCTCGTTCACTTTCAGTTCCTGCCTGTTTAATACTTCCAGTCATTAGCTTGCGATCATAACGGGTGTCTCACTTGAGATAACGATGTGTGGAGAAAATCCGTGATGTAAGGGTAGGAAGTGCCTCAGAGCGTGGCCCACAGTATATATTATCCTGCTCTGGAGTCTCAAAATAGTTCAGTGCGAGCAGCTGTATAGGATCCAACATGTGCAAAATTGTGAGTACTTTTCTTCATGAACATTACGTTAATAATTTGCAGAAAAACTTATTTTTTATCATTAAACATATATATATTTTTTATATGTTTGAGTTTTAGCAAACTACAAGTCGTAGCATTTTCCAAATTATGAACAGCATAAGTAAACAATTTTGGATAGGGGAAAATTCAATAGCAAGTAAGTAATTTTCTTGATCTACATTTTCAAATCGCCATAGTTTTAAGGAATTCAATAGACATCGTTTCCTATCATCTTGTCTCAATAATTCTCCTAGCTCTTGGTAAATGAAAGCCAGAGATTTTAACATTCCTATCGTAATACGACAAGCCAGACACTTTAAGCTGCAGAACCATGCGTATTCTCATTGTGTACTGAGTGGTACTTATTGTATAAAGGTTTAATAAATATTAATCCTCTTAATTTGCAAAGAAAAATAGTCCCGAATAATAAACAAATGATCGCGTTTGTATTGATTGGCTTGTGTTGATTATAATATCACATTGCATTATTTCATTACATAAAATACTCTTTCATGACCATTTAGACAAGGTGGCGTGTAAAAATATTACGGTAATTTAAATTTGAATGTATTACTGCGTTGGCGGACTAATACATGTTGAATCTGAATAATGGTAATGTCGGTTTGGGTTGTCTTGATGTAGATTTGTAGATGATCATGGTTTAGTTTTTTTGCCATTTAAAGTAGCTTTAAAGATTGCCTCGGCTCATTATACTTCTGATGACGTCAAAGAGAGTCCCTTTATGGCGTGATGATTTTATGTAGTGATGAGATACACTACATATATTTCCTACAGCTAACAGACAAAGTGGCCTTCCTTGCAATCAGTATAGTACGCCAAGTAGCTAATTGCTTGATTTTCTTTTTTTGCCGCACTCATTTTACTTTTGTCGCCCTATTTTTTTCAATATTCCAACCATAAAATAACATTATCTGGCTTTGTTGCAAAACAGTGTGCTTTCATTAGTCACGTAATATGTGTATGCCTGAAAATAGCTTGGCAACACTTAAATATACTACGACTACGATCAGATGGTGCAGAGTTTCCCATTTCATTCAGACCTTGGATTTGACCTAACCTAAAAAAGTGTTGTATACAGTAGTGTTTGGAAGACAAACTATTTAAATGCCTTACAGTAACTTTAGGGAAAATATAATGTATAACGAGAGTGCAAAGTGCCTTTGCTGCACTCAAGAAACTCTCATGTGCAGTTAAGTTCAACTTTGCATACTAGTTACACTAATAACTATCTACTTAAATAAAATTAGAGTTTTTAAATTGGAGTTAAAATTAAGTAAAATTAAACACAACAAGTCAAACTAATTGTAAATATTCATGGTGTGTATTTGGATGGTTTAGATTAATAAGGGCACATTTTAAGCTATTCGTACAAATGGTCCATGCAGTTTTAGTAGCCACTACTTTGCCTTTATGCTTTTGACGTCATAGTTCAAAAAGATTTTTAGTGTTAAACTAGTGTTTTTGTTTTATATAAATATAACACATTATTTTTTAACCCCTAAAATGTTTTCAAATGTGCTCGGGAGCAAACTTGGCCTTCTCGTTTCATAATACAATGGTACGATTCATAGTCAAAAGTACCACAAATAATTGTCAAGAGCCTTAATACTAATAATGCATAAATACACGAAAAGTGCAAGTAAATAGGTTGAACAAATTAGTAATATACTCAATTGTTGTCAGGTCCTCCTCACTTTGGCCCTGATGGTTGTCGCCATCACAGCCCAGGAGTACGGCCATCACGAGCATCATGAGCATCATCACGAACCTGCAGAGTCTTACCAGAACTACAACCTCCACGTAGGCCATCAGGAGGTCATCAAGATCCCCGTCATCAGTCATAATCATGGACATCACGAAGAACCCCATAATCATGAGCATGGCTCATACTAACTGTGATTTTTAATTTGTCTTTTATTTTGTAAATACAATAGTTTTCCCTTTATCCTTAAACTGTTTTTCTTACTCTGTCAGCGAATCATTTTATAGTTGGTAAATGGTTAGCTATATATAATTACTGTCTATGATTAAAAATTCGATTATTACGTCATATTAAACAGCAAGTTTTAAAAACACCAAGGTGGTTTGGAGTAATAAATGGCTATATAGAGATTGCTAGAATATCAATCGCTAGAATATCAATTGCTATGATATCGGGTTTGTTTTATACATCATGTATCACAGCTAATGTATCCACGCATAAAAAAGGCAAACACTTTAAAGCCAAAACAATCCTGTGGAAAAAGTGTAAAAAAATAGCAAGTAACCTAATAAATATAAATTAAATGTACATAAGCCTTTATGGAAACGTTAAATAATACACTATAAACAGTAATAGATTTTTTAATTTGAATTGAATGATACAGGCTGTGAATTTTTAAGGAACTTTCTAGAGTTTGGATGAAATAAATAACATGAAGGTAAGAGAATTAACAATCAATATGTCTAATACTTGTACTTAGGTTCATAAGCTTCATACTTCGGCTCGTATTTGGGCTCGTATTTAATTTCATACTTGGGTTCCTCATATTTGAATTCATATTTGGGCTCATACTTAGGCTCGTATTTTGGCTCATAAATTTCATACTTGGGCTCTTCATACTTGAATTCATACTTCGGTCCGTACTTGGGTTCGTAGCTCACTTCATACTTGGGTTCTTCGTACTTGTAAGACTTAGGTTCGTATTTAGGCTCGTATTTGGGCTCGTACTTGGGTTCGTATTTGGGCTCGTACTTGGGTTCGTATTTGGGCTCGTACTTCTCATACTTGGGCTCCTCATACTTGGGCTTGTACTCGTATTTCTCTTTGTACACGACTGGCACCTTGATGGGTATACTGTGAGACTCCATGTGGAAGCTCGCGTAGCTCTTGGCGCCTCCATATTCCTTGGGCTCGTACTTAGGCTCGTACTTGGGCTCGTACTTGGGCTCGTACCCATAGGACGCGGCCGAGGCGACGGCCACCAGGGCGGAGAAAACTACCTGGAAAAGTGCAAACTACTTCAGAACCCAAGAAAAGTCATTTCAAAACAGAGCTATAAATTTCAACAAATGTATATTTGACACTTGTATATTAAGTAGTTATCACATTATAAACTTGTTTTTAAATTCTTTTATGTAACCTGTCGGTTATTATATTAAGGGGATTATACAGTAGCTACCTTATAGCATCAATCAGGGTAAGCTATTGAATTCCAGGCTGGGTAAATAACGATTAATACTAGTCAAAATTTCCTGACTTTTATACGGTACGTGAAAATGGTTATTCACATTGAAAAAAAAACACTGAAATACTTATAAACCAATAAATATCTGCCATTATAAACAACTGAAGGTGTAAAGCGTGATTTGTAAAATGATATGGGTTGTGTTGCCATTTTTAGTGTGTTACAATAAAAGTGCCTTGAATTGTTCCAAATAAAAACTATGCATTATTGGACCAAATTGTATTTCAGTGAAATGAGTGGATGCTCAGTGCAAAACTATGAACTCACTAGCTACATAATGTAATGTTACATTAACCATGATTAGTAGACAGAAAGCCTAAACAATAATAAATCGTTAGAAAATCTACCAATAAAGTTATCAAGAAATGAAAAGACTATAATGTTTGTATCTGGTATTCGTTGCCAACTAAATATTTTTAAGTTGAACACAGTCAACTTGAGTTTTATTTTTCAAGACGTGGACAGTTTGTAAAATGAAACTTCAATGTAAACCTCGTCGCAGTGTGTATATAGCCAAAGGCTTTACATCCGGTAAGTAATATCTCAGAACTTTGCTCAAGTATCTAAGTTAGAGGATCAGTGACCGCTGTAACCTTGACAATCAGCTGATCCTTGGCAGCTCTCCAGAGGAACAGCTGATCGAGTAACCGGTTGTGAGCGGAACCGGTACCTTGTAACGTTATATAAGCAGTAACCACCGTGTTGCCTCTCACTAGGTCAACTACTGCACGCTCACTGACAGCAGCAGCACACCACTTGCACTTTCAATGCGTTCAATCAGGTCACTTTTTCTATTTTTGTCTATGCCTATTTAGTTTCGTATTGCCTATTGTTTAAACAACAAATCCCAGAAATGGAAAAAATAGCTATATTTGTATTGAGAGAGCAATACAGTATACGTCAATCTTCGGCGGCAAAGAGCGGCAAAGACACTAACGCCCAAGATTTTTCTACCGCCATAACTTGTCATATCGCACAGATTAAATTTTAGCTGTAATTAAATGTCATTTAAGTTATGTTTTCTTTTTATATAAGTTATTTGCTTAGTGCTTGTTAAAGTATCGGATCCGCGGCCGTGGTTTGTCTAGAAACCACATCAGTGAAATCAGCTGATTTGGCGAGCGGGAATAATCCATACCCGCTCTAGAGCGGAAATGAGCTACTTTGCGTCCTTTTTACAGCTGTGGCAATGTGATGATTTCCGTTATTTTAAATAATTTCTTTATTGCGATAACGATTTTGTGAAATGTATGGTGTTTTAGAGTTTTTTGAAACTTTACAATTCAAAAGACTAACACAAAATACAATTAATTAAATTATGTTTTAAACGTTTAATTACAGTTTTGTCTCTTACTCGTAACATCTGCCAGTGGTCTGGAAATTATTTAGTCATATAATAAAGGCCTCTACGAGATTTACTTGTTAACAATATCACTGTATTTTCATTAGGCAAAAATTTAGTATCTTGAAGCTATAATTATTTTGTAGAATTAATATAATCTCTATTTTCTATTTAACCGTACAACCTAGAGAAAATCCGCAGCAGTTATTATTAGAACTTTGACTGATATTCATTGTAAGTTAAATCAAATCCAGATAGAGAAAATAATACGTAATAAGTACGGTTAATACTAAATCATTAACTTCAAGAATGAAAGCTGACAAAAATTACAATGATACAGTAAGATATTCTCCTGATTATTAAACTAGAAGTATACGGATTAAATTTAAATCACATTTTTTTTAATTCTTGTCATAAAATAAATTTATTAAATTATTTTTCATATAATATAAAATAAAATGTTATTTTCTAAGTATGAAATTTTCTATCATGTCTCATTTTGAGGCATTATTAGAAACAAATTAATTTGCCAAGGTAATTTTACAAACTGTAGACAATTTACAGTTATTTTACAGCGGTCAAATAATATATCGTTGGTAATCTTATTCATTATTAACTGTGCATTCCAGTACACATCTCTTTAAATATACTCTATGTACTCATTGTCCTTGTGGATCAGCCTGATGTTAAGGTATGTTCCTGTTCGGTTTATAAGTAGAATAGCTTTTATTGTATTCATCAATCAACTTATTTGATTCATTTGGTGAACTGGAAACCTAATGTAATTTAACTAAACCATCCTATCGTGGACTAGAAAACAAACTAGAATTTACTCAATAGAATAGAAAAGAAATATAATTTACTGAAACTAAAAACAAACTAATTATTGCTTGGTTGTATGGATACTGGGTTGTTCCTGAAACCACGTAGCTTCAAGTTTATTGAAATAGTAATTACAGACCTTTAACTTTTTTTAAGTAGACCCAGAATAAACGCAAAGAGGTTTCTCGTTATTAGGATTAGCCAGAGATAAATTTTGCAAATGAAATGAAATGTGGAAAATAAATTGAGTACAAAAGCGTCTTTGCTGAGGTGACATTACATAGTCCTTACAGTTAACCCGTTACTATATTATAATGACAAACCATAGCATTGGATAATTAAGTGATCACTCTTAACACTCAGTGAAAATAAGCCAATCTGCAGGAGCTCCGCATAAAATATTCAGTTTAATTACCTAATAAACTGAATAAAGAAGAAAAATTTGACTATTTAACCAATTATATTACATAGATAACATTTATGATAAACACGTCAATTTCTAAATTAACTCCAAAAACCAGTAATCAAAAGGCAGTTGATCTATGATTATCAGTATATTCTTTACAAAAAGGATAAAAGTGAACAATCAAATCTTATTCTACAACAGATACTTACAAGACTGTTCATGATGCAAGAATGATTGTGTTGATCAGAGTGATACCCTTATATACTGACATAAGGTCGTGTACTTTCAGATGGAATCACTTTTTCTACAATTAGCGGTTTGAGGCGAAAGGCGATAGGGTTAGGAACGTTAACGGACAACATGATTAAAATACTTTAAGGCATCGTCATTCTGCGAGTAGAGCAGAGTCTAAACCAGTGACGCACTTACCAGTCTACATGTAGTGGTCGGTGAGAAAACGTGTACCATTCGTTGGTCTTTGAATCGAATAAATTATTACTAATTGTGTTGTAGGTATTTGATAGGATTGAATGAATCAGATATATTGTAACCAGATTGTTTATAAACCAAAGTTATAAAAGTATGGTGACACTTAAAGACAAAATGTGCTTGGATCAAACTTTATTTATCATTTTATAGATGTTACTGGAATATATTGTCATTGTTATGAATTTTGTTACATTTATGTACATCTGTTATATACTACTCATATACTATATAATGAAATGATTGGTTGCTGACTTTGTACATAAACTCAGTGGGTTCTGTGGTTTTTCATCAGATTATAATCCAAATTTCAATTTCCCTTTTGTTGGATGGCATGAAGAATTTCAAACGAGGTAATTTTCTGCTTCACCACAAATAAAATTATATAATTTAGGAGTAAAGGAATAAGAAATACGCAAAATGGGAACAAATTTGATTTATTTACAATTTTTAGAATGAAGAAAAAAGATGACAGATAAATTTGTTAATTAAATTACATATAATTTAATGATAAGGCAAAATGATCTTAATCATGAAGGACCAGTTAAACACAATATGTACACAATGCTCATGAGGTTTGTAGTTGCTCATGTCTATCTTCCGAAGATCGGTACGTTTCTTCAACAATAAATGCTTGTTTTTCACACGCTACACTTTTTGTTTTCTTCTTTGTACTATCATTGGAGGAAGAATTGTTACGAAATATCCCTGTAAACATTCATATTAAATTAATAGTTATTACGAATTTTAAAAGTACAGCAATGCATTAAAAGTGTATTACTCATTGTCGTATAGCTAGATAGTCTTGCATTTAATTTCTTCTTGTTTGCATGCATTGCTGAGTAAATTTGTGATCACAATCGAGTGATCATGCTTTTACTATGTTTAACCTTATTTTGCTACAAGTAAGCCATAAAAACCATAAGGAAGTACTACTATAAATGCTTAACTAATTATCTTGAGTCCATTATCTAGCAACAATTATTGTGTCCTTTCTTGGCCTTTCATTGTTTTCCAAACCTTTTCCACTTAATTTTGACCTATGTTAAAATACCCCCGCCACAGCAAACCTGCAGGCTAAGTGAATTTTCATTTGCCTGATTGGATTTTCACTAAATTATCTCCTTAAAAATTGCATACTTAAGCCCTATTTAAATAACATTAATTTAACGAGTACTTTCTTAGGCTTGCTGCTACAGGGAAGGTGATAAAGTGTTTTATAGTTAAATTTCAATAGTATAGGATAAAATAAATAAATGTTCCTGATATGATGACTACAACAGTTAACTTATTCTCCATAAAAATAATGGAAATTAAAAATTATTTTTTTTCTCCTTAACCATTAACATACCAAGTGCATTCAATATACCAAATTATTTATCTTTGTAAGCTCTACAAATAAGCTAGAGAAGAACTTGTAAAATATTATGATTTTAGGGTAAAAAAGTTGGGAGAAAACCATTTTTACCACAAAAAATCTCCTATACACCCCAGTTTCTATAGCCTGATATTCACGAAATCTTTAGAATAAAAATAGGTTTACAAGTTTATACAAAATTTCATCAAAATCGGATATTTGATGAGTAATTGCGCTAACAGACACATATATTAAAGTATCTATATACTACGAGAATATAAGTTTGAACGGATGGTGTTTTGGCCTCTAGGGACCTAAAACCGAAAAAAATGGTCATGGGTCCAGGTCTTACCATGAGACCCACAGTAATATCTTATTCCCTAAATGAATTCGCTAAAAACAAAGATTTTACCAAATCACCTAATTTCTTACTTCTTGATGGTACAACAGTTTTTAACCGATACTCACATGATATATACTGCATGAGTGATACACTGGCCACCTTGATCATGATATTGGACTTGTGAAACTCCAGCTCCGTAGCTGAAGAATGGCTGCATCTCTTGTACTTCGAGTATTATAACGAATAATCACTCATCGCATGGGTGGATTCACTTTCTCCAAAAGTGATGATTGCGTAAACAGCGATGTAACAGTGGAATGTTAACCTCATGCAGTTAAAACTTATTAATATTAACATTTTTGTGTGTTTTAGTAACAATTACATTCGATTTCATATTTATGTAAAATGGATACGTACTCAAAGTATATTTTGTTTTTTAACATGTCCTTTATCTATATAATACAGGAATTCATAAGCCTACATTTTCAATTTAGAACCATAATAATGCCATTCCTTGGAATAAAAAGCTATAAATCGCGCATTGTTTATTTCGTGGTATTAATAAATTAGATACTTCATAATTTTCATTATTTTTGAATGATTATAGACTTGAATGAGACGTGACGTTAATTAATCGGCATGCATGGTAACATGTAGACTAAATATTAATTTTAAATTTGTTATTACTCAAGTAGGTTCATGATTTAAAAAAGTGAATTTAGAGGTCCAGGCCAAGTATATGCATAAACTATAAGCTAAGTATAAGCTAATGAACGCTCGGGTTTGCTGATACTTGGCCAGGAAAATTAAATATATTTTGTGTATAAATCCTTTGTAAAAATTATTGACATGTTTTATTTTTTGCACTTATAAAAACATTTAGCCTTAATGCGAGAATGCACACTCTTCTCGACTAAAATCAATTCAAATAGATCGTTTACTTGATATTTAGATAGGACTTGCGTAGTAGAAGTTCCTACGGTCAACCATTCTAAAGGAAAATTGATTGTATGCAATTCAATTCTAAAGGAAAATGTCGGCGGTTTCAGACATAATTTTCACTTCAGGGTAAATGGCAATGGCAGCATGTCCTCTGGAAACACATTCGAAATCGTTGTACGGTTAAACTTATCATTGTGGAAACTATTTTCCCATTCTAACACATGTCTCAGCAAGACACTCATAATTAAGATACTACATTTTCAGACCTGACTGAATGCATAGGGTCAGTCAAGTTTGAACACACTTGTGAGAAAAGAAAGCCTCCATCCCAATACCAGTAATGATGAATTCTTTAGGCTAAACAAATCTTTTTAGCTCGTATTAAATAGCTTCACGTCTGTGTTTAGAGTTTAACAAACACAGTAGACCAATGGTAGATGTTTCATCTGACAAGTTTCACATTGCTTGTTTGATAATGGCCTGTCTCCGTACTTCTTTAATGCTGACCAACGCTCAAAGCAGTATTATATAGAAACGGGTGATTAACTAAAAACGAAGGTCCCGACTGAGTTATAAAAAGCTCTAAAATTTATCCAATATTTCAGTGCAAAAAGGCCAACAGAAATGGGAATATTTCTATACTTTTCAATTCATTCAACATATGAAACATCATTTACACCCCTCTTCACTCACACAGAAATTTGAAAACAGTAACTACTTAAATTACATTCCAGATCATAAAAGGGGGAGTATACACTCTCGGATGCTCTCATAAAGTAATAATTCTATTAGTTTGTTTTAATTTCCATAATTTTGAGTTCATCCAAAGAGAACATTATTAACACCTTTCATAGCTCACACAGAAATTTGAAAACGGTAACTGCTTAAATTACATTCCAAATCATAAAAGGGGGAGTATTACACTCTCGACTGCACTCATGAACTAATAATATACTATTAGTTTGTATTTGTACTACTAATAATAATATTATTTACTAATAATATTTGTACTATTAGTTTGTTGTAATTTCTATCATTTTGAGTTCATACAAGAGGTGAAACATTATTAACACCTTTCATAGCTCACACTGAAAGTTGAACCAAGTAACTGTTAAAAGTACATTCCAGGTCATAAAAGGGGCAGTAATACTACGAACTGATGCTCAATATTGTATGCAAAAAAATGCTTATTTCCTAGTTCCCCATTAGCCCACAAACTGTATCGCGTGGAGGGCAGCTTAATAAGGATACAGTGATCTGTTGACTGTTGAGTATTTCTGCAACATCTCGTGATCGTCTGCACTGCATGTTACGTCATCGTGGACCAGTTGTAGTGGCCCGAGGTGACAGTTAATGTGGGGCTCTTATCACTGTTTGATTGGCTGATAGCTATCACTCCATGACATAACACAGCTGTTCACTTCTACCTTTGTGGTAATGTCTCCGTGATAATGAGATAAGAGGAATGTTGTTTCTAACAATAGAAGTTCAGTGAATTTACTAATATGAGTTGTATTTTTTAAAGAATTTGGACCGGGGGGATAAGTATGCTTTTAGTTAAACTAGTGGTCAAAAACTCGACCAAAAATATGTAATGTACAGGCTTTTCTATTTTCACCTCACGCTGTAAATAAAACATGTGATTGTTATTTCTTCCATTTGTTTTGATTTTATGTTTATATTTTGTTGTTATTTCATCACCCATAAGGCCCATGTTAACTTGTTTTTATTTCAAATTCATTTTTGTGCTTATTGTTTGAACCTATTTTAATTTATAAATGGGTTCTGCACATCTACAGGAAAATCTTCCTAAAAGTATGCGTAGATTTTCCCTGCCATGCACACGAGCTGAGAAAAAAGGTTTTAAAGAAACACGCTTGCCTATTTATACAGGGTGTTGAAAATGTCTGGAACCAACATTATATCTCGTGAGTGGTTAAAGAAAAACAACTGATATTTTGTGTACGGATATACTATGGTTTTACCTATCTTTTAGTGCCTTATGAAAATTTTTACCACTTATAGGGAACGTCCTGTGGAGGATGCAGTAAAAGGTTTTAATGGAAGCCTATGGTAAATGATACATCATTTTAAAGGCCATTTTTTTCTTAGTAAGGAG